AGGGAACACTGAGGTTTGATGGTACAGTAGGAAAACACACAAAACCCTTGCTAAACAGTACTATCAAGAAGTGCTCAGGAAAAGGGATGTTCCCTACAACAGAGAAAACAGAGTTTACTGAGGTCTCCAGGCAACAGCAAAACCACCCAAAATATTTATAGAGGTATAAAGAGTGCTCATGGGAAGAGATCAGCAATTCCTAGAGCAAGATCTCATTAAAGAAAGGAAGGAAAACATTTTTCTTAAGTCACTTTTTTTAATAAACAGGAGAGCACTTAAGAAGCACCAACTACAACAATAGGGAGAGAGATGTGGCATCAAGATCAGAGGAAAGAAAAGATCCTTTTATGGACTGTGCAGGTGCACACTGTGCCAAGATTCAATCCAGACTGGAATATTCAGAGAAACAAAGCACTGAAGGTTGCTTAAAATATGCTTGAACCCTCCAGTGAGCATAACTATTTGAACAGAGTCAGAAGGATTTTGCCTTTGACTATATTGGGTGGGGGAAGAGAAGGGCAGAGGAGGTAGAGAGCACACTGTGTTATGACAGCAACCATGGCATACTGGAAAAACCCTACTAACTCAACTGCTATTGCTCCTGGCAAATCCATCAGATCGCCACGAATGGGACCTTTTATGTGTTATTTACTGTTGTCCATCAGTGTCACCAGGTGGATAGTTTTCAAAACATTGTGGAACAGCAGAGAGAGAGAGGGTAAAACTCTTCAGCAACAGCTCTTAGGGCTGACACAGCCGTGTTAACCCGGATGGACCATATTTAAGCCAGTAGACATGTTCCCTCTCGGTGAGCTTCCATGGAGGGTGGGAAGGAACAGCAGCTGAAACATCCCAAATTGTAGAGATCATAGAAAGTGTTTCAGACCAGTTACACCACCCAGTGTTCTGCCATATTCTGCTCCCCACTGTGAGAGCAGTCATGAAGAACAGGGATGAGTGGCCCCAGCTCCTGATCCAGCCTCAGCCATCACTTACACAGAAACACTGTGTTACCAAAAGGGGCACAACTTTGGGGAAGGGAGGGGGAGGTGGTGTCAGAATATATTTTATTTTATGCCTTTTTTTAGTTCTAATGTTAACAATGAAGGTTTCTATCACCTATCATAGAAGGCTTTATAGCCTCATGTATATAAGACACCATGAACTTGACTATTTCCTATTACATAAATAAACCTGACTTTAATCCACTTATTATAGTAATGATACTCCAAACCAGATTAATATATGGTATAGTATTATTGTTAAATATTAGGTAATTATAGAGCAGAGAGGTCTGACATCTGAAATCTTACCTGAAGTTTTAGACTTAGGGAAAAAAATGGTGCTTAGAGAGTTTCTGCTTTCAGTTCCTCTTCAAGAAGAGGATTTCCCTTAAGATCCTTGATCGAACCCTCTCTTGTTCCCTTTGTCCACTTTCTCCACCACCACCATTATGAATTCCCCCAGTGTTTTAGAAGTTTTAATGAGTTCCAGTTAGGCAGTCAAATCAGGTAAAACCTAACTATAGCAAATACTATGCCAAGTGAAGACAAATAATATAAAAAACAGGAAAATCTCTCAAACTCTGCAACTACCATTATCTCTGTTTTCATTCATTAAATGTGAGAACCACTGAAGTTGCTATGAATGCCACCTTCTATCTTGTGTCACTGGCAGGAGAAATCTAGAACCCCTACTGAAATCTTGCTAGATGCCACCGCAAAAAGCTTCTATTTTTTTTTTTTTCTTCCTGCTAGTTAAATATCAAGCAGAGCTGAAAGAGAATACAGATGGAGGATAAAGGAGGCTTAACACCACTAATTCATGCATCACTGCTGCTGGGCTTTGCTGAGCATTTCACTAGACTGCTTTCTTTCCAGCAGGCTAACACAATGAATCTGCATTCAGACCAACCATTTCATTAACTGGTCAAAGCTGGTTGGGTTGGAACACGAAAGATTTGGCAAAACTGTACATTAGAGGGTGTACATATACACATTTTTCTCCAAGTGAAGCAGAGTTCATTCATAAAGAAACATAATGGGCAGTAAATTTTAATGTACCTATTAAATTAAAAAAAATTCAGACATACTTAGCTGACAGCTCAAGTATGAAGACGACGATTCTTCAATCATTAAGCTGCAAAAGTACTATTCAGGAATTTAAGGGTACATGTCTGTCCTCCACTGGTTACAAGAAAAGTCTTCATCTTTTGGCAGTATCCTTCCCAGAGGGCAGTGTCCTCTAACACATGTAAACATGAAATCCATGGACACTGGACACACATTGCTGGCTTTCTCTTCTAGTTGCAAGCTGGAAATAGAAAGTGTCCTTATTTCAGACTAACTGGATTGTCTGACAGTTAGAGAACTGCAATATTGTTAAACCTGAGAGTGCTCAGAAACACCAAGAACCTGTTTTTTTTAATTAAATGCCCTTTCAGATGAAGCCTTTAACATCATAGATTGAAACTGTGACTCTCTTACCCTTTTAGGTACTACCTTTCTTTTGTGACACTAGTGCACCTCTTCCCCAGCTATTACTCCCCCTCCAATGAAAAAAAAAAAATGACAAAACTTTAAAACTTTAACACTAAAGTTACTTACAAAATGAAAAGGAGCTTCTCCTATCTGTTATTGTATTTGGCATTCTACAGGTTCAGGTAGCAATGCAGTCATTTTTACTTATGTTTGCCACAAAGAATACTTGTGCTTTGGGCATCCAAGTACACCGTAGAACAGGTCCAAAGGATACAGAGCATCCAGCTCTTCATTCCTTGAACTAGTTTTATGCACACAGTAAGGACTGACCTGAGCTGACAAACCTGCATAGCTCAACTTAGTCTTCTTTACTTGCAAAAGTATCTTTACCTTTCTTATTTAAAAGAAATAGGAAGATGAGCATGTCACTCAGATTAGATTTCACTGAAATTACATTTCTCTCAATATTGATTTTAGGATTCCTCACTCCCCTTCCCTCTACAGTTCATTTTTGATAGGCATCACAGGCAAAACAACCCAGAGGAATGTTAATAAGGATCTCAGGTTCACAGAAAAGAAAAAATACGAGACTGTCTTTTTTTCATATTGTGAAACCACCACGATACAGAGATGACCTGTAACAACACAAACAAAAACTGCAAAAGGACTTTTCTCTGAGAGAAAATTTCCCACAGCACAGGGGACACTTCAGTAGCTCCAGTTAACACCCGTGTGCTCATCACAGACCCCCAGCAGGGGCTCCTGTCACTTGTGTGTGCACACACATGGATTCTCACACATTTTGGTTGTTCCATGTTCTGCAGCCAGAGCTGACCCACTGCTGGGTGCTGGTCCTGTCTTGGACGGAGACGGGTTGCTTTATGTTTTCAGCCTACAACAAAGTAAGTATTTTCAGGTACCAAACTAAACTGTGCTAAACTTGGCACATTTTAATGTAAGTTGCTGAAAGTCACTCTTTCTTCCAGGATTTTTATTGACTTTGCAGATGTTGTCTTTTCACCCTTGCGTACGCAGCTCTAGACAGAAAAAGAACAAACCAAAACTAGCCACAAAGTTCACTTGAATACTGAGGAGCTGATCAAGCATGAGCCAATATCAGAGTTCCAAACAATTGGCAAGAACCGTTTATATTATCTAATAATATTTTTTCAAATGAAACTTTATAGTCAATGGCATATACTATGTTTCAAAGTTTTCCCAGCAGACTTAATTGCTTTTAATGTATCTAAGCCTGTCCTCAGTATTATGTTTTAAAAAAAACTCCCTCATCAAGACAGTCCAAAGTGCTTTCCAGGAAAAAAGGTGGCCTGAAAGTCTTGTGTTCTGGGCCCCCTAACAGCTTGAAGCTTATAGCCATGTTTGCAGTTGGATCCAGCATCAGTAGAAGCACTCTACTAGTCTTGTGAATGACTTGTAAAGACACTGATCAGCATGTGGAACATTTTTCATGGTCTTATTAAAATAATTTCAGGATTTGACTAGTGAGTGCTGTCATCTTATTAGGATTTTAGAAAAAAAAAAATTACTTTTCTTCTGTACATTTTAATAGGAAAAGTCTTTGAAATACCTTCCTTGCACACAGTAATGGAACAGAACAGCATGGCTTCTCTGCCTTCTGGAATCTGATTTTGTATTTATAAATCTAAGGGGATCTGATCCTACCCATCAAGACTTAGTTTTCATTTCTGAAGTTGCCAAAGAAAATATATCAAATTTATCCTCTGAAATAAAATTTAAAAAAAAATCCCAAACAACCAACCAACCCAAACCAAACACCCAGTTAATCCCAGGATGGCACTGACCATGTAATTATACTATGGGTAGCACAGCAGGCTTGTAAAGCAGGAGCATGTGCCCACCACTTAGAGGCTGATGAGTCTTGTTATCATCAGTTCCTGTCTGCTTCTGTTACCATTTTAAGTCAAGTGCAGACCTGTTATACATCTGTTCAGTCCCAGGGGAACCATGGCAGCACAGTGGGATTCAACACTCAAATGTTGCCCCATCAATACATCCCTCACATCAACACCTTCAGTTGTTCCCAACCCACATTCAGAGTCCAGATCAATGCATATACCTGCCTTTTGTTGTTAAAAGGATGTCACCACACTTAGAAAGGGAAGAGACAGGACATGCCCCTGCTTTCCCAAAGGCTTCCATCCCCAAGAACCATCTCTGCCATGCTGAGCTATTCCTTAACAAAGGAAGTTCCAGGCAAGTTGAATCCTTTGCAAGAAAGCCATAGCTGACAACTAGAAAATCAGCTTGGGCTGCTCCCTCATCCTTCCCTCACACTCCAAATGAATCAGCTGGAATACCTAGGTTCTGACACTATGATATGGCAATGACTGAGGTCTATGCATGTACCTTCATTCATCACCAGGCAACACACAATTCACTGTGGTGAATCTATGCAAAGATTTCCTATGCATAGGGTAGGCTGAAGGTAGACAGGATAGGTTCACCTAAGAATAGGATGTACATCTGTGGTTGAAGACAGTGAAACAGCTTCACTTCCTTCAGTCTGGGAAGGTTCTGTGAAAAGATTTTTGCCTTTGAAACCAGTAAATGGGAAAAAATTACTACTTAGCAGCCAATAATTAAAAGACAATTACACATTGACAAGCAAGATGACAGCATTTCATTGACAGTTTTATATAAAAATGAAGACAGAAACCCAAAGAATTTCTCCACTATTATTTCAGTGCAAGATTCAGCACCCTCTTATTAACAGACGTTTTCTTCAGCAGATATTAAATGTGATAAATGTCATGTTCTCAAGTTACTGAGGGCTGCTTTTCCATCACTTTTAGATTAAGTTCAACTGATTGTTGGGCAGATGGTGAGAAAGAAGGTGCATAATGTGTTCTCAATCTCAGTGACACAGATTGTAGTCTTCAAGCAGTGATTGAAGCACTTTGATATACCATTTTCTCATCCAGGGCCATCAGACAAGGAAGTTTCTTTAGTTACATCGATGCTGCCTCCATAGTAAACTGTGTTTCAATTATTATGCAAGTCACTGAAGTCTATTTTAAGATTCTTTGCTTTTATTGCAGCGCATATGGAGGAGGTTTTCTCCTGACACTTGAATAATCTGTCTTCACCTAGCAGGTGTGTTTTCCTTTCAGAATTTTTTTTAATAACCTCCTGAAAAATAATCAGGAGAATTGAAAGCGAATGCACCAGAATTATGCTGACAAGCATATGGGCTATGTTTAACAGCGCCCAAGAACGGTGCCACACTAAAAAAAGCATTAAACCCACACTTATGGCAGAGTAAGCAAATCAAGTGAGAACATCCACGCATTTCATTTTCAGGTCAGCACACAGCTCCCACACTCCCACACTCTGCTCCTGCTTGGGCTAATGGTAAAAGTCCAAGAGTTGAAGCCACCTTGGTGTCATCCACCACTCCAGCTAGAACCCAGCTCCTGGCTGCAGAGACCTTTTTAAGCCTGAGTAACGCAGGTGCAAGACATCACTGCTTGGAGGAGCACAGTTATCATCAGACAGATGTTCCTCCTTCAGACATGCAGTGAAATAAACCCTTTCACATACAGTTAATGTGCATTCTCCAGGATCTTAAAAGCATCTGGCAGTTTTTTCTGGCAAGCATCTCAGCAGCCACTGAACAGGTTGCAGCTGAAGAAATGTTTCAAGAAACAAGCCACAGATTTAGCCCCTACCCTGACAGAGCAGGCTTGACTGTTACCACATCCTTATGGGGCTCCTTGTTCAAAATGCAACTCGCTGAGTAGTCTTTCTGCATGTCTTCTACCACTGGATGGTTCAGATTGACAAAAACTGAAAGTAGAAAAGAGAAAGAAAGCCCTGTAGAAAGATGAGCTTAGCTGGGTAAGTGAATATACCACAATCTTATATGAATCTAAGCCAACTCGATAAGATTCATTTAAAATATTATCACATTCAGCTTTAGGACCCCCTGTGACCCCCAGGCCTTGCATCAGTAGGCGGTTCAAGCAGGCTGAATAAGTAGAAAAATCCATAAATGATTTGATTTTTCTAGCTCAGATCTTTGGCCATGTGCCCAGTGAGCTCTCAATTATGTTAAGTCATTCAGCTACAGCAATGAAAATATCTCCTCATTAATAAGATAAGAACTAGATGTTTAAGTGCCAGTTTAGAGTGTTAGGAAGGACAGAATAGCTCCAATTTGCTGACAGAAGAAAAACTGGAGATTGACCTCTGCTCCTTCTCTGAGCATGATCAGGATGATCTCATCAATACCCAAAACCACGAGAGTGAGACTTCCTTCAAGACATGGACACTCATTGTCAGGAACACTAACACAGGTGGTGGTCAGTTTACTAAGAGCTTGGGCAAAAGCAGGAACCTCTCTCAGGGAATCCTGGAATTTTATTCATGCCTGGCATTGGGTGGTTAAAAATCTGCTGATAACTTGCACACAGCTCAGTTGGTTAGAGCATGGTGCTAATAATGCCAAGGTGGAGGGTTTGATCCCCATATGGGCCATAAACTTAAGAGCTGGACTTGATGATCCCTGTGGGTCCCTTCAAACTCAGAATATTTTGTGATTCTGTAATACTGTAGACCTTCCCACTTCCCTCAAATTTGCACTTTTCTGTAATCTGTGCCTCTCTATCTTGTGCCAGATTTCAAGCGACTGAAATGTGTGCTTCTATCCCAGTGCCCCATATATCTATTTAATGCCAGTGGCAACATGGAACTCCTTCTCTCCAAGTTTGGGCACAACTTATTTGGTAACTGATTGTGTAGCATCGTGGAATAGTTAAGGTTGAAAAAGACCTCAGAGATCATCAGGTCCAACTGTTAACCCAGAACTGCCATGTTCACCAGTAAACCACATGCCCAGCTACACATCCATGTGTTTTTTAACACTTTCAAGGATGGTGATTCCACCACTTCCCTAGGCAGTCTGTTCCAATGCCTGACAACAATTTCATTGAAGAAATTTTTCCTAGGATTTAATCTAAACTTTATCTGGCACAATTTGAGGCCATTTCCTCGTATCCTGTCACTTGTTATCTGGGAGGAGAAAATGACCCCCTAGCTATATCCTCCTGTAGAGGGTGATAAGGTCTCCCCTGAGCCTCCTTTTCTCCAGGCTAAACAACCCCAGCTCACTCCGCTGTTGCTCTGAATTGTACCAGCAGGATACCAAAATTAGCCTCCTTCCAGAGAGGATCTCAGGCTACTCCTAAATGCAGTGTTTGACACACATGCCTATGACTTGATCCATGTGCCTATTGTCTTCTATTTCTCAGGAATGTGCAATCATGTAATCATAAAAGCATCCACATTTTCTAAGGGGATGAAGCCAACACAGAAAAAACAGGTCACAAAACTTGCAGATTTCAGTGCTCAAGGAAAGGCAAAACCAGACAACAATTTAGGCAAGAATAAAGTAACTCCAAGTTCTGAAGATTTACAAAGTTTTATGGTATGGCTTAGCTAAAACTAAGAACTAAGGGCCTGAACACTCGCTGCATTTTCATTGTCATAGGATATTATTAGCTGAAACAGATGAGAAAAAACAGTGGGTGCACTCTTTATAAGGAGTCATTAGCTGACATGAAGGTAGAAACACAACTGCAGCTGAAACTGTCATTTGAAGAGACAGCACTGGTTACATAAAACACGTAGGCACCTGTGGGGGGGGCGTGTCTATTTTAAGAATTCTTGCTTTAAGAGTGAAGATTTCTAGCCATGATGTTCTCCATGCTTTCAGACAACTGCAGTTTCCCTTAATGAAGAAAAGCTTCCCTTCATCTCCCAGTAAAAAGATCCCCAAAGATATGATAATTTTTCTTTAATGTATTATCTTTCCTATCACCGCAGCTGCCTTATCTGCCTTTTTCTCAAGGACTGATGCAATTGCAAATACTTTTCTACATCCCATGATAGATTTTATTAATGACATCAAACACTGTTTCATGCTTTGCCTCGTTATTGAGTTCTGTGGTGGTAGCAGATATTGCATTCCTTTGTGTAAGTTCTGTAATTTTTCTGAGTTTTGATAAGGCCATTAATCACAACATGACTATGCTAATCCACACCATACGGGTGTCCAAGACAATGCTAACAATAATCACTCTTTAATAACCATTCTTCTTTGCCTAATACTCTCCAGTACAGATTTTCTCTGCTTAAGTAATAACAAATATTGAGGAAGATGAGGATTAAGAACTTGATTGTGTTTCAGTAAAACTTCTTCAAAGAGTCAGGATAGGGCTGACCTTACAAGCTCAAGGTCTCATTGTGTTGGAATTGACCTCACATCCTTGTGACTTCACTGGTAGTTGAAAATATTCAACATCTGTCAATACTTGGACTTAAATGATGCAAAGCACTTGAAAATTCATAACTGAAAAGGAATATAAATAGCACTGAATGCTTTGCTCCTCTGTGTAGTAGCCTGACACTGAAAATCTTCTGCTGACTGCAAGTATTAAGTATCCTTGCATTTGCTAACCAAAATGCTGGCTTCTTTCAAAATAGCTGCTGAAAGGTCAACATGTACAGAAATCACCTTGCCAAAGAGCACAATCGAGCAGCATTTGACAGACTGCTCTCCTCATTTCATCTTCCGCTCTTCACTGATCTCTCAAAGTTTTCACTTTTTGCACCATTCCTTTTGAGTATTGAGTAGTATTGATATATACATTTCAAAATTATGTTTTTTGTGACCCACAGAGGTCACCCATGTGCCTGTATGCACATTCGTATATAAAGAACAGGCACTGTGTTACATATGAACCTCACAAAAATTAGGAAGGTAGTACTGAGGGGAAAAAAGCACAGACTGAATCCTTTCCTTCCCGTAGCCAAGGTTTGTTTCCTTTGCAGAACCCACAGCCACCTACTGTATTTTAGATGTCTGAAATGCAGAGGTTACCTATCTCTAGATAAAGCACACTCAGCACTTCAGAGGGTTAAAACCCGGCAGGTGTTAACCCGGCAAGGTACAAAAGGAGCCCCTTGCATTATACCTGCACATAGCCAGCCTTCCACAGGACATTGTCTCCGAGCAGGGCAGCAGAATTTCTGGGAGCCTGACTCCTTTCCTGAGTCCAACAGGTGTTAAACACACTATATCTGAACAACACAGGTCTGAACAAGTCTTTGTTTGACTTAGTACGTGTCCTCTGCAGCAACCAACAACAAATAACCCAAAGAGAGAACATACGTAGTGCACAACAGAGGGGTTTTTTTTTTCTCCAAAATATTTTTCCAGCCTCCAGAAACTTACTGTAGGCAGAGCACCTGAGTCAAAAGTGGTGCTCTGGTGTCCTACAGCCCTAACTGAATCTCCCAGAAATACAGGGAACTATTGAAGTTACCCGGAATGTAGCGGAGACCCAGACCTTGACAAATAAACCAGTGAACATGTACAGAGTAGCTTTCCTCCTTAGTTCTGCTTCTTTCTGCCAACCTTCCACCATCTGATGCCTCTGTCTGTATTAGAGGACAGTCAGCAAGCGTCCTTGATCATCCACCTCAGTCACCCCTCTTCCATTTTATTCTGATTAACCCTTGTTCAGAGGGAAGGTTTACGGTGGATGCACATCTAAATGCAGGAACTACCCCAGGCTATGCATGTCAGCTCTTTTTCTAGAACTGGCACCTGTCTAACCCAACAAGGTGTGAGCTCAGGGGGATTTCTGGCAGACAGTTCAGCCCTCTGGGTTGGCCATGCACTGGAGCCATTGCATGAGAGAGGGTGAGACTGCGGAGGTGGTGATGAGCACCAACAAAAGCCCCAACAGTAGAAAGCTCAGCTTCTGTGGAACTGTGTAGACGTGGCTGCTCTGTAACCCACTTTCTTCATATAATAGGCATGAGGAAAACAAGCTCCCCACACCAGTGGGTGGGTATAAATCACTGAGATGGCAATTTCAGGTACTACCTTACAAATAAAGCTGATGGTTGACCTTTTCGGGTGTGAAAAGGTCTGGTTTTGCAGATAGGGAGTCAGCTATGGGTTTACAGCAAGACAAGAAGTGCGCTCATAATGGACATTCATCACATAAGCCTGTAACAGTCAAGTGATTTTAGTGCTCTCTTATGGAGTATTACAGCTTACTGTGCTTGGAAACAGGCAATATAATTTCCCAAGTTTCAATAAATTCTATTAGTTACCCCACATTTAATTTTTCTTCGAGAAGCTCCCCAATACCAACTCATTTGAGAAGCCTCCAGGTACCCAGCTTTGGTTTTGGGGAGGGGAGGAAGAAAACATGTTTGTTTTGCTTCATTGTACAACAAAATTTACTCTTAAATTGCTTTTTAACTATTAATAGCACCCAGCATTTAATAGTACAGCAGCTAAAACACAGATCCTTCTCTGGCCCTCTCACGGCTGTGATTCAGTTCCCAGGCAGCCCAAAGTACATTAACTGTGTGAATGGAAACAGGATTAGGTGTTCTGCCCGTAAAAGTATAAAAGCATGTCCTTCATGCAGCATTTCACGAAGCTATCTCTCTGGTAAAGCACAGACAATATTATGATAGACTTAAGTTACACTAAGAGTTGGTGATCTGAAAAACAGGGACAGAAGTCACCTGGCGATGAAGAACTGGGTGTAACTTGGTGTCCTTCTTGGGGGGTTCCATCTGTGCTAACACACGCCTCGTGATAACAGTAGCAACAGCTTTCACTTTTTTGGAAACCATTGCTGGCTTTAGTTGAGTTGCTGGGAGGGGGGGGGAAGCTCACCTGAGAGAGCTGGGAGGTGGCTGTGCCCCTCCTGCTTGCCCAGCCTGGGCGAACTGCCTCGGTCACTGCCGTGCCAGTCCCTGTTTGCCCGCTCCTGTTCCCGCAGGCAGGGGTGGGGGCGCTCCCGGCAGCCGCTTAAATCCCTGGTGGATGGGCGGGGTTCCCCCACTCAGCTGAGTCGCCTCCCGGGACACCTCCCGCCATTAGAGGGGCTCCGCTCTCCCACAGCGGCCTGAGGTTGTCTGCATTGTGTATATGTAGCATTCCTACACAAGAGAGAACAGAAGAAATTCATTGCATCGTGATCCTCCGTGGTTGTTACAATAAATAAGACACTGTTCTGGTGTCACCTTGGGGGGTTCGCACCTTAAGGTGCCTCTGTCGGGGAGTCCCGGGGCTGTTGGGGAGGGGGAACCCGGACTGGATTTCTCCGGAGTATGGAATGGAGGGTAAAACACAGACTGGATTTTGGCAAAGTATGGAATGGAGTGAAAAACATGGACTGGAGTTTTCCAGAGTACGGAATGGAGTGGAAAACACGGACTGGATTTTGGCAAAGTACGGAATGGAGTGGAAAACCAGGTCTGGATTTTTCCAGAGTAGAGAGTGGAGTGGGAAAACCCGGACTGGATTTTTTCCAGAGTACGGAATGGAGAGGAAAACCCAGGCTGGATTTTTCCACAGTATGGAATGGGGGGAAAATATAGAGTGGATTTTTCCGGAGACAGGATTTAAAAAAAAATTTAAAAAAAAAAGGAAGTGTTGGGCTTGATGATCTCAGAGGTCCTTTCCAACCCAACTGGTTCTATGATTCTATGATCACAGAGACTAAAATGGAGTTCAGTATTTTATGGAAAAAAATCAATTCAACAAACTATATAGGAAATTAAGCCTCCTTCTCTTAATGCTACTAAAAAAGTCTAGTTATGTTGTTGACTACCTTGAATTGAAAAATCTTTTAATTTAACTTTGCCATGCTTTTTCTTCACTGGTACTTTTCAACAATGATAGTAAGGATCTTCTATAGTAAAAAATTATAACTTCTCTCTGCTTTCTTAGATTGTATGTAAACTGCATTTGCAACATCTGATACTCCGGTCACCAGAGGAAACAACCCTTCTTTCTGCCATACAGCACTGAAGTGGAGATTTAAAGTAACAAATGCAGATATAAGACAGGATTTTTGTCTGACTGAAGTGGTGGAGGGCTTACCCAGCAAGGGAAGACCCAATCTGCTGCCCAGACCGGTAACTGCAAGGTTAGTTTGACAAAGGAGCAAACTGCTGTCTTGATACCACGCCAGCAATGTGCTCTAACTGCAGTGTTATTCCAAACACTGGCAACCTGGAGACCTTGCCAAGAAGGCTGAAGTCTCTTCTCACCTTAGAGAGCATTATCTATACTCAGTAATTCACACACAGTCCAGCAGAGGCCTGAATTGACAGGTTATGTACATTAAACCCACGGAGGCTGCACCTGAAGGATCAGAGACCCTGTCCAGTAACATACAGCACAAGGAGTCCTGGAACTGACCAGTGGGCAATGACTCCAAGAGGCAACTGGAGTGACTTACCCCAGAGAGGAAAGCATGGACTGTATCAGCCTTAATGGAGGTTAGTGGTTTGTCCTTACTGACCACAACAATCTGTTTTCTTTTTTTGTGTTTCACTGTAGAGATAGATTTGTAATAGTCGGTATTTCTTAATAGCTTTTTCAGCAGTCATCAAGGCTAACATTAAAGTCAGGTTACAACTTCCATAACAAACACTGATTTCTAGAATCTTATTACCCTTGAATAAAGATGTCCTGCAAGCAGAAATAAAACTCCATGGAAAAAAACATCAAAAGAACTAGAAGAAAATTAAAGAACTAAAACAAAAGGACGGTACTGCACCTACTATCACTGGTTTTATGAACATATTTCCACATTTCACCAATCAGTAGTCTGGTATCCTGACCCTTTAAAAATCGTATTTTCTCTGTGCAAAGCAGAGCAAAGCAAAGCACACATGTGCAGATGACATCCAAGCACCTGTCAGAATGGACTGGCAGCCTCAACCAAAGTCTCATAGCCACTGTTGTGCAGCAGGGACAGGACAGTTTGTACTGCTTAAACAAACACGCTAATGAAGGTTTGTTTTAGAAAAAATGAGAAACATTTGAGCACCCTGAACATTAAATCCTCATTTAATGATGGGAAGCGTTGTGTGTCCTTCCAACACTCAGGCACAATGCCACAACTTCAACAAGCTGCTTAATTTTCTCTCTAATGCCTAAGCCTATGCGATGGATATACGGTGCCATATCACCCTCAGCTGGGAATTGCCTTAACTTTATTGTTTTCTGTCACAGCCTGTATGCTCTTCCAATGTTTTAGTGATTGTGAAAGATCAGCGAAGAAAGACTGCTTTGAAACTCTTTGAAAAGGAAAAAATCCACGAGGGAACTTCAAATAACAGTAAACCTGAGACCTATTGTACAGCACAAAACATCTCATGAGGAGCAGAAGCAGCCTTTCAGCCGTGACAAATAATGAGAGATGTCACTGCAGGACCACTGCTGGAAGACATTTAAGAAAGAAGCAGAAGAGTAAGTACTTCACTTTTAAGCAACATTTTGTTCCCAGGGCCCCATCCTTGTGGATCAATACAGTACTTATTGTCAGCAGTGATTATGAGTTACCACTGTTGCTGTTACATGGACATCTCAAAGGCATTTTTGTCAGTCTTTCCTTCTAAACTAAAATTGATGTGCAAAGACTGTGGTCCAAATTCAACAGGAATGTAAGCAGCACAGTATTTCACATTTCCAACACATTAATGATGAACAGGGCTCCGTGAGGCACAATTCCATCACATCCATGAGGCCAGTGCTGGCCTGAGGGGCAATACCACTCTGCCTACTAGACATTTCCATCTCTCCCTGGTTCTAGTATCAACATTTGTCAACTGGCCTGGCAGTAACTTTTTATTTGGTCAAGTTTCACCACAGTGCAGTACAAATGGCAGAAGTAGCTCACAGGAGGAGAGGACAAACTAGGCCCCAGCTCTCAGCAGCAGCACAGAAGCCAGTTGAGAAATTGCACTTTCTCATGGCTAGAAAATAGCAAGCAACATTTGTCAAGGCAGGTGACACCTTTTATTAGATGGCCTAATGCAGCTGGGAAAAAAAAATAAATTAGAAGTTTCAAACACTCAAGCCTGTCTTCAAGAAACGCATCTGATGAGGAATGGATTTGCCGGTCAGTTTAACACTGAGAAAGGCAATTACCTGTCAAAACCAACCAAACATAAAGTTTGTTAGGTCCTTGGGCCAGAAAGTGAAAATGACCCCACAACTTGATAGCTGGATGTGTTGTTTGTAAGATCAAGTGTGGTTCCTGTTGCAATCAGTATTAAGTTATTTTATATATAGTAAATGTATTTCAACTGGAGAACACAGATAACTTGAAGCAGATTATTCTTGATCCTACTTGCTAACATACTTTCCTGAGAGACTCAGATTCTGTCTTGAAATGGGATGGACAAGAGAATTTTTCTTCTGCTAAGTTTGAGAAAGAAGCTTGTGCTGCTCAGTGTGTATTTGGTGTGGCCACCTCCTGTGTGTTTCCAGGAGGGCTGTGCAAGCAGGAAAGACAGGAAAATATATAACTTGTAAAATTTGCATCAGCTTTGATTTGATAAAAATGCCATGATGTTTAAGCTACAAGCAGTTTTTCACATGAACAATGACTGAAACTTTAGTGGATCCTGACCTTGACTGGGTTAGGTGGCAGCTACGGTCTCATAGGAGAAAACTCTCATGAACAGCCTCTGAGTGCACGAACCTGTTCTCTCAGCTGCTGAATTTCTTCCTTTTATCTCTTGCTTGTCCTCAAGGTTATTCAGTTCCTCTTTATCACACTGCGATTCTTTTGCACAGTAACAATGTTTCCCAGCTGTACGCCAACAGCAGGTTTCATTAGCAAACTCTTCCTTATTGCACGGAGGTCATTAATGAAAGCATCACATGTTTGGCCCCAGGCAAATTCCTTGAAGATCTCCAGTAGCAACCCCCCTCTAGTCTCCTAACTCCTCCTAAGGAGGTGCCAGCCTCACCTTGCATCCTTAAATCCCAAAGCTTTCTTATAATACCCAGTGTGTGAGTTATCTTAATCTGCTAAGTACTGAATTAATAATGCATTGTAATGCTATAGTAAGCCACACTTGCAGAAAGGTGTAGATTTTTTAAAATGCAGCATGTCTATCCTAATGCAAGCAGGAAAAAGCGTAGGACAATAACAATTTACTAGAGGGCTAAAAGGAAGAACATTTGTATTATATCAGAATGAGACAAAACAATATGAACTGACCAGAAATATAGTGACCTGAGTAGAAGCCACATGTAGAATCTGATTCCAGCAACATCAAAGAGGTAGCAAAATACTTGTTATTAATTTATCAATTTATCAGGAAATCATAAAGAAAGAAAATGCTTGGATTTTTTCAAGAAGTATCACACACTCATTAAAACACAACAGTGGATGTGGATTAATTAACTAGTAATCTGCATTAATAAAAGAGAAAGTTTTATTATTGTCCAAAATAAAACAAAAAGCCTCTTTAGACCTGTGTTGCATGTCAAGTGGTTAGCACAGCCACCCATCAATTTGGCCAGGTGAAAAAGGGAATAGTCACCAGCCAGATAAACCAATGGAGGGAACATTTTTGGTCCAGTCACCAACTGGTTCTTGGAGGTGTGCCAAGGATTTCTCGTTGCAAGAGTGAATTACTGATCTGGCTTACCTGGAGCCCCTAAAATGAGCAAGGTATCACAACACTTACTGTGTGACAATTATCAAAAGGATAAGATACACCAACCTCATTTAACAGCTACTGCAAGTAAGCAGGGAGACTGAGTTCTTGTGTTGCTTTCTGATGCTGTTAGATAAGGATCATCTCCTCCACTTTCTCCTTCATTCTCTCACAACTATTTACTCCTGCAAGGTTGCCAATTACAATGCAGAATACGTTTCCTCTATCCAGACAAGAATCCTCTCATATCCCCCATGGCATCAAGTCTTACCTCTTGCTCCTTGTGCCATATTACCTGTTCCCTTTCTCTGCTTTGTTTCATTCCTGACAGATTTTTAAACTCTTCTATTACACTCAATAGTAGGTTAGCTTAATAAAACATGGTTGCTTTGTAGTCACAGGAT